AATAGTACCGGTGCTCCCAGGGTGAGTAACTTGGTCTAATAAATCCTTTGTCTAGCAGCTCCTAGAGTTGGGCCGACATCTCTTGCATTTCCGAGGGTGCCAAGCGATATGGCGCCCTTGCTACTGGGTCAGCTCCAGGAATTAAGTCGATACCGAACTCGACTTGTCTCTGTGGGGGCAGACCTGGTAATTCCTTAGGGAAAACATCGGGAAAATCTCGAACTACCGGTACGTCCACAACCTTATTCTCCTTGATCCTTCCGTCAATCACATGGGCCAGGTATGCAGTGTAATTCTTCCTTAAGTACTTCTGCATCTTTATGCAGGATACCAGCTTAAGCATTCGGTCAAACTTATCTCCCTGGACCACAATTGGCTCCATTCCCTTTTGGGGAATTCGAATAAGTTTTTCTGAACAAACAATCTCAGCTTGATTTTTGGATAGCCAGTCCATTCCTACAATTACATCAAAACATCCTAGTTTGATCGGTGTGAGGTCTATACTAAAATCCTTATTAGCTAGGTTCAGAGTGCAATTCAAAATTACATTTCTAGTCTTGAATTCCTGGCCATTGGCAAACTCAATTACGAAGGTTTCTCTCAATTTATGGGGCTTTAAGTTAATTCTCTGCTTAAAGTCTAGTGACACAAAACTTCTGTCCGCCCCAGAGTCAAATAAAATCGATGCAAATTCATTATTCAAAAGAAAGTACCTGAAACTACATTGGGATCCTCTCTGGCTTCCCTGGCTCCCAATTCAAAAGCTCTCCCTCGAGCCTGACTTCTTGAATTACCCGCATTATTTTGTTGATTCTGGTTTGCATTTGCCCCTGTTTTCCGCTTTGGGCAATCATTCCTTATATGGTCTGGGCTCCCACACTCATAGCATAAGCGCCTACGACAGTCCTTTGCCGTGTGGCCCCCTAGACAACACCTCTGGCAGATGATACAATTCCCTCGGTGTGGAAATTTGCACTTGTTGCATCTTTCTGCATCACCCTGCCTTACCACCTGTGATTGGGCTCCAAAATTCCTTGTTATTCTCTTGCTTCTGTCGAATTTCCCTCTAATTCTTCGGTCCCCATACTCTTCTATGTTCCGTTTTCCCTTGGCCAACCCTCCGGATCGCACAGCATTGTTCGTGAGTTTTGTGGCAATTTCTACCGCCTCTTGAATAGTCTTTGGATTGGCAGAGGTTATGTTTCCCCTAATTTCTGGAGATAGTCCCCAAATGTACCTTTCTATTCGAACCTCCTCTGATGACACCAGATGTGGCACAAGATTTGCCAACTCATGAAATCTTGTTGTATACGCAGAGATATTGTCTCCTTTCATTTCGAGGTTCCACAACTCTATTTCCAATTTTTGGAGTTCACTCCTCGGACAGTATTCGTCTTTTATCAGTTTCTTAAACTCCTCCCAGGACAGTCGGTTAGCCGCTTCTCGGCCTCTGATTTGAACTATAGTGTTCCACCAAGTTAGTGCCCTTCCTTGCAATAGGCATGCCGCATACTCGACCTTATTTCCTTCGGTGCACTTGCTAATGTGCAAAACAGACTCCACGGTCTCTAGCCACAATAGTAATTCCACCACTCCTTTAGTTCCATTAAAATCCTTGGGGTTACAAGCTCTGAAAGTCTTATAAGTACATTCTCGTGGAGGTGTAGATTCAGAGTTTGAAGTTTGGTTGGCATTCAATCCAGCAGCCACTTGGCTGACTATATTCGGTAGTGCAGCGATAAGTTGGTCAGACACGAGTTGCGCTATATCGGGGTTCTCCCTTCTTGTCGGCATTTCTTTGGATCCTAATCAAAATGGAATTCGTAAGTTTGATGGCAGAGCAAAGGTAATAGCATTCCAGATATTTCTATGGTACTCAAGAGTGTTCTTCCTATTCTGAATTCTACTTCTAGAATAACATCCAACCTATAGCTATTCCTAATGCCAACATCATCGTGATACAAGCAAACAACCATCTATACAACCTCCTAATTTCACGTCGGGTTGCAGCAGTAGCCTCTCTGTTGCTTATTAGGCTCTCATGATGTGCTTCCAGTACATCGGACAAGTTGTTGAGAATGTGATGTTGATAACTCAGTCGAGTCTTGTGTACTTGTGTGTCCGCTGCAATTCTTCTTACCCAATCTCTTTCCGTTGGATTCATCCCTTGAGGGTAAGACGCAGGTATCCAGTCACAATCTGAGTCATTCTGCTCCCTTCATGGGGTCGGGATGACTCCCATGTGACCCTCTGTGAATTCTCAAATGTCACCCTCTGTGGCAGTGGGACTCTCTTCCTGGGTGTGACCCTGGTTCTTGGACCATGATAGGTCTGTGGCGGAATGTCAGGTACTGGTTCCGTCGGGGGTAGGTAGGACACTTGTGGTGTGTCAGCAGCATCACTTGAAGCTGTATCCTGGTCATACGGGTCCACCTCTTCGTTGCGGTTCATGTTCCTTCTTGAGCGACCGACTACGTATCCAGATTCGTCGACGGAGTATTCGCTTGGATTAGAAGACATTTTTAGAGATCTGCGGCATGGACAACCTTGGTTACTAAAGTGCATCGTCTAGCATAAGCTTAGTGATT